CAAAATATCACCAGAATATCGTCATAATAGTACTATAATAATACCATAATATCATTAAAATAACACGAAAATATTACAAAAGATACCATCAAATAATACTACTAGAATACTTTCACAATACGACTTAAATATCATTAGAAAACCACCAGAATACCACCCGAATTGAGTGGTGGTATTCTGTTTATGGTATTTGATGAAATTTTTGTTAGTATTCTGGTGGTATTATGTTGGTATTTTCATTGCATTCTAGTGGTATTCAAGTTGTAATGTGATGTCAAGTGTTTTGGTAGTATATTGGTATTGTGATCCTTTTTTTTAATATTGTTGTGGTTCACCACTGGTATTTTGGTGCTATTTTGATGGTTTTGGGTCCTAGGTGGAATTATGGTTGTAATGTGTTAATATTGTAGTTGTATTATGGTGTTAATTTGATGAGATTATAGTGCTTCATGATGGTATAGAGGGATACTTGCAAATAGGATTTACATTGATTGTTTTCTAAAGACAGAACAAAGATATTTTTTATTTTTTTAAACACGTTGAACAGGTAACCCTCCCAAAGATAAAATACATTGCTCTACAATTATAAAGTCAACATTACCTTTGGTTTTAATGAGATATTTAAAATATTACATTGAGCAAATGAGACAAATAAAGTTTTACATTAAATAAATGTTTCCGGAGAAAAATAAGAAAAATGAAGTTTTACATTGAACAAATGATATAACGAAGAATTATAATTTTCGATTACATTGGGTTCACACGACCAAATAGTTAAACACTTGAAAATAAATAAAGTCGGCTTTTTTCTTTATTTATCACATTGGTTTCTTCTCCTTCTCTTTGCAGTTTTTTTTCTTTCTTGAATCTATTACAGCTAATGTAAAACATAAACATTTTATATTGAAATACAACACTAGTTTAGAAGATTTTACAACCCAAAACTCGCTAGAAATATATGGAACATATGACATTGTTAAGCTTGTTTTTAAAAAGGTGGGCGAGTTCTGAGTGCAAGTGTCTAAGTGTCGGTGTTGGTGTTGAAGACGCTAAAACTTCTGTCGTGCTTCCATGTCCGGTGGTAAAGACGTTAAAACCTCCCGCGCTAAAATAGTTCCAGTGGCGGAAACCTAAAATGCTTAAACTCGCTTCGAGCCGGAGAAACTGCGATTATTAAAATTGCAAATGAAAACCCTAGCTTGTAAAAAAAGAAAATGAATCAGCGTGTGTTTCTTTTCGATGTAACAATCGGTCTTCGTGCCAGGTAACTCGAACAATAGCTTTTTTCATTTTTTTAATTCTAAAAAATGGGAACCACCACTTTAGAAATGATGTCCTATTATTGGAGTCCGGATGCCATATTGCGTCTGGCTCTGGATGCAATATTTTCTTCTTTTTAAAAGTTAAATACTCAAATTCACCTTTTCTTGCATAGACAAAGCACCATAGTGCTATGTATGTAAATATGAAAGTTTCGGTGTGAGTTATGTAAATACATAAGAATTGTGTGCTACTTATGTAAATTTTTCTTATGTTAAGAATTGTGTGCTACTTATGTAAATTTTTCTATTGGAATATCTAGCGATGTAGGAAAATCTGCTCAACTGCATAGCTTATCATTCTTGATTCAATTATTGCAAGTGGTTTTATATAGAAATGCTTGGAGATCTTTTAACCCTCATTTGCAAATTCAAAATTATAGTTGAGATTCATTAGTGCCAAAACTCTTATGATTGAACTGTTAAATTTGTGTGGCCTTCTTGTATTTGATTTGTACTCGATATTTTGATCAAATGATGTATGGGATAATTTTTTAGCTTTTTCATCAACCATGTGTTGGTTTGCTTCTGATAGCATCGATATGTGGGATCTTTTAATGAGATTGGAATTTGATACGATTTGACGTAGAAATCAGGACGAAATTTTTTAGAAGTTGGGGCAAACAAAATTTTATTGTAATAATCCTGGCAACTCAACAAGAACACAAAGGTAAACACGTGATCTCTCCCAATTCCTATAATTCGAGAGGAAAGAAATCTCTCCCAAACACTAGACCTAAGGCTCACAATTTAATCTTATACATCAAACCTATCCCTAGACATAACAAACATATTTATACCCAACAATAATGATGATAAAAGACTGAATTGCCATTAGGCGTACTAAAAATAAATTTTTCCTTAGGCTAGACATCAACGTAACAATACTTCCCCCTAAAAGACACATTGTCTTTAAGTTGAAAAAAAATGAGAACATTTCTCCTCCCACACAATTGTCTTTTTTTCTTCATTCTCTGCCTCCTCATTCTGTACTATGAGAACTTGTAATTTTCGATCATTGTAATTTTCGACCATTGCTCAAATATTTCCCTGTATTTGGTTACAATCCTCTCCTAAATCAAGGCGTTGAATTGTTCGTGTAGGTCTCCTTTTCAAATTGGTTGGACACGTTCCAACAAACAATCATTGAATTCCTCTCACGAATGGATGAGTATCTAGCTTACCTTCACTGAAATCAGACTAGAGCTTTCCCTTCCAAACTTAACCCTGTTGCCATGAGTTTTTTGTTTCCATCTAGCCCATTCATCGCGAAGTATCGCTCCGCTTGATACACCCTCCCATGTGCGTCTTCACCCTCGAAGATAGACATCTTCAATTTTCTAACTCTAACATCTCTACCCCAACTTCTTCTTCATTTGTTGTTTCTCCCCATGTATTGAGGGTAAACTCCTTCATTCAATCGTAGCCATATCCCCTCTCTGGTTCTCTCCTTTCTTCATTGTGCTCCTCTATGTTTCGACCCAACCGCCTTCATTAAAAAACTTTATCCACCCCAAATCAGGCCCATCGCGATGGTGGATGTTTTCCTCATGTTTATCACGTTCGATATCTTTTCCTTTTGACCTTGTCACAGATTCTCCAGTCAACCTTTGGTTAGGGTTTGCAAGTTAAGCCGTCTGCGGAGTCTTAAATTGCATCTCAATGAGCCTCTAGCATCTCTCAAATTTCTTCCATACTCTTGAATCGGTCCTCTAATCGATTCACCATAGAAGAGAACCTATCTTCTATGGTAGTGAACATTCCTTTCATCCCAGATATGATTTGACTCATCTCTTCCTTTAACTTCTTCTCCAAATCATCAACTTTATTGGCTGTCATTATTTAATGTCACTAGGGCACGCTCGATTCCGGATTCGTCTGCTAACTTCTATGGTCACAATTAGGGCACACCCGATCTCGTCGCAGCCTTTTCCACTAGTTCTGATATGTTCGAGTCTATTTCACGAGGTTCAGTGAGACAGAGATGAATGTAAGCCGTAATCTCTTCTGTTTCAAGGTAACTTGAACCGCGCCGTCTGTCACCGCCTGATAAGATCTCGTCGTCGCCTTCCCGGTAAGTTCTAATTGCGACTGTATAGGCAACCTTCCTTGCAAGCTCTGATCGCTCACTGTATCGCAACAAACTCTTATTGACTGTATCGCAAGGTTCGATCAAGATAGTGCGGGACACCAATGGTTCCGAATCCATCGTTGCCTTCTTCTGTAAGCAGCGAGCTCATCGTTGCCTTCCCAACAAGCAATGATCGTGATTGTAGGTCGCTTCGCAGTCTCTGCCTTCGTAGCTATAGCTCTGATCGCATCCGTATCGCACAGATGATGTGACTCTATCGCGCAGACGGCGCGACTGTGTCACACAGACGTAAGTCAAGATCTTGCTGGTCCCAGAGATGGAAACCGTGTTCTGTTTGTTGGCTTCCCATGTGCTATCCATTTTTTTTGTATGTCGCAATCCTTTGGTTCTTCTCTATATCGCAGGGATCGGTCACGAAGCGCAGTAATCCCCCAAAATCACAGCTCTGATATCAGTTTATATGTTTTAACGTAGAAATTAACATGATTTTTTTTCAAAAATTAGGGCAAACACAATTTTTTTGCAATAATCCAAACAACTCAACAAGAACGCTAAAATAAAAACCTACAATTCGAGCCGTAGGTGATCTCTTCCAATTCTTACAATTCGAGATGTAGAAAGTCTCTCCTAAATAACTCAATCTCATGCATCATACCTAACCGTAGACACAACAAACATATTTATACCTAGCAACAATAATAATAAAAGAGTAAATTGCCCTTAGGTGCATCAAAGACAAATTTGTCCTTAGGCTAGGTGCCAACGTCACAAAATCTTCATGCATATTTTTTAGGAAGATTTATGTACATATTACTCAATTCTTATGTCTTTACATTTCTAACACTTAAAATTTAATTATATATATATATGCCACCTTACCTATGTATGGAAGGTGCATTTCAATTTTTAAAAGTTTAAATATTGGTATTTTTTATGTGCTATGAAAGATTTGGGTGGTATAAAAATCGAAGTTTTGGTGTTAGATATGTAAATACATAATAATTGGGTGCTATGTAATTGTTGCGTATGTTCGGTTTAGATGTGTTTGCTTTGAAATAAAAAAAGTCCTTGCAGCAAAAATTGTATCATTGATCTTCAATTGCTATTGTTTGACATTCAATGTATGGTCATTTACATACACACCACGCAATTCTTATTTCTTTACATATCGTTCTTTAAACATTCATATTTACATGCATAACATTATATTTGTCTCATAAAAAATACAACTACTGCTAACTTTTTAAAATTGAAATGCTCATTTTCATAAATAGGTTCATGACACCAAAATGCTATAAATGTAATTATTAAGCTTTAGGTGCTTGATATGTAAATACAAAGGAATTGTGTTGTATGTATATAAATTTCCCTAAATATATGGGGAATATGAAGCATTGTAATCTAGCTAAATAACCGCAGTATCTAAATTTTATGAAGGAAGCTGGGAAAAATTGAATAATTATGTTTTTTGACAGTATGCATGTATGAAGTAAGATTATCAAAGTTGTTGCATATAGTTCTTCTGGCAGTCCGCCCCCTAACCCCTTACCACCACTTTCCCTCTTATACACATTCTGTAATATTTTCAGGGTATTAAAAATTACAGAAGTTTTAAGCAAACAGTAAAACGATTGGAAGAAGCAGCTGTTTCTTGTAGGGGCCAAGATCGTGTTCAACTTTTGCGAAGATGGTTGCTCGCTTTGAAAGAAACTGAACACATTCGTGGAGGACCAACAGATATAAAGAGTTTAGAAGAGCCCCGATCTCCAGAAGAAACCAAGAAGTTTTCATCAGTAAGTACATATAGATCCTCAGAATATTGCATCATCTAATCCTTTCTTTCATGATTCATTAAAAGAAATTGTTATAAAATAACTTTGCTGTAGTATGCGATTCACCTTTTATTTTGTTTCATATTTTTTGGATCACAAAATATCTTGAATGAGACGAGTCTTTAGATCAATGGAAAAACAAACTTTTATTGAATATACCTCCTATTGTTTGAAGGAAATGATTTATTTTTCTCTAAGGCCAGGGAAAAGAATTCAGTTCAGATCTGTTGGGGAGATGACTTGGAAGATTTTAACATATGTACAAGACTATTTTTCTGTCAAAAATATAATGGAGGTAGTCATTCATCTTAGTGTTTCTTGTGCACGCAAAAACAGAAGAAGATAAACATTGAAGCAGAAGTCATAGGGCTTATGCTGTTAAGTAACATCGTAAAAAACAATATTTAATTCCAAAAATATTCAAAAAGAACCTTTAAATTTAACCACTAACTCCATTTTTAAATTGTACCCATGCATATTTTAGCTCATTGAGTATCTTTGGAGAATTGATTTGTTATTCTTGGCAGTCATTGTAGATTCTCTGTTGTTTGAATTTTGAGCTACTTTTAAATACTCAACATCAGATATGGAATTCCTATGCATGATTGATGCCTAATAATTTCTTCTTGAATCATGATGCAAGATCCATATTTGTTAGCTAAATGTTTTGAACTTATCTTTACATTTGCCGCTAGAGAAAATGCAGATTTAGTTTTCAATACATGCCAGCATGACTTGTGTGTTGATATAAATTGGAATAGAACAAGATCAAGCAACATTGACTTCTTTAGACATTATTTATTTAATTTCTCCAAATGTTTGAGATTAGGCTAATGATGGTAATAAATGAAGATGACTGTCTTTAACTCCGACAACCAAATCTAATTTCCATCCAAGAACATTTTAAGTACATTTTGAAGGTCAAATGAAGTGCATATAGTGAAGATGTAACTTGAATATTGAAATTGAGGTTGGCGACCATCATGTTCATCATTAGCCAAATCCCAACTATTTGTAGTTGAGATTTTGAATCCCCAGTTTGAACCCCCATTTTGTAAAATGAAATGTTTGTTAATCAACTATTTGGGGTTGGCTTCATTGCGTGATTTGCAAGTAATGTAGTTTCCGTTTTAGGCATTTAATGAAATAGAGTGATTAAATTTATTAGCTAATTAAAGAAGAGATTTTCAAGATACAATGCATATAAAAATCCTATATATATATATATGATACACAACATATATAAATTCTATATATATATATATATATATATATATATATATTCAAATGATTAATAGAATATCAGGAGTTTTTATTTTGCTTGTATCAACTGCTCTATACAACTCCAATAATAAAGAGTAGAATCTACTTGAATACCTCATTTACTGATTATAAATCATAATAACAATGAGAAGAGAATAATTGGATCTTCATCACGAACAACAAAAGGGTTGAGCAACATAAAATTTGACATGTCATGGTAACAAATTGCTTTCATCTATTGAGTAATGGATATGATCAACAAAGTTATAGAAAAAGTAAGAATTAGGCATTTAAAAGATTTAAACTGGGCTCGAGTCATGCCTTACTTAAGCTCGACTCGTTTCTCAAAATGCAAACTCAAGCTTGAACTTGAGCTGAGCTCAAAGGGCTAGCCATAGTAGCGGGCTTGTGAGCTAGAGCTAAAGTGGAAGTTCTTATGGGTGCTCTTCGAAGAAGGCATCTACGCGACTAATGATTGGAGAAGAATAATAAATGCCACGAGAACTTGCTAAAGAAGGTATGGACGTGACTAGTGGTGGCTAGTTGAGTTGGCTCATAGCCATCTTGTTGAGCCTCTAAAAGCTCGAACTCGAGCTCATTTAATAAACAAGCCGGAGTTTGACTTGATAAACTTGATTGGCGAGCTTCCGTGGTGAGATAATGGCTGCAGTAGGGCACATTTTTTGCTGTGGTGAAAAAGGAGATGGACATGAATATTAACATCCGCTTTATCTGTCATAATTTTACAAAATGTCATTCTTTTTCCATATTCAAATTTGTTGTTTGGTTAAGAATACTTATTAGCTAAATTATATCTATAACTTCATACGTGAGTGCCTGCATGTTGATGCACATGCAATCATGGATTGATGGGTATGTGCTTACATATTTTGATTGCATTTTGATATATTCGATAGATCCAAGTATTTCAATCTTGACACATCAGACATAGCTAGTCATTGGTTTATTTCTTTTGATTTGATCTTGACCCGAGCAATAATTGATCTGGTTTTCTGTTGATTCTCGAAAAGTAATAGTTGGAGTGCGCTGATGTTTCTATAACAGTCTTATAAAGAAACTCTATTTGTACGGGTGATCGATCATTCGATAGATAGATTGATCAAATCGATCAATCAATGGATGGATGCTTTAGATTTATAATATGTGTTGCCAATAGATTAAATTTTCACGCATTGAATAAAGGCTGTCAGTGCAAAAGCTTTGATGATGAATTCTTTTACGGTGATGATTTAATCAGCTATTAATTCTCATTTAAGCAACAATCCATCTCTTGCAACAATTAATATTGAAAGTTTCTTTAAATTGTCTGACTGTAGGCTGTAGCAGTTTTGGGATCTTCAACTCCAACTTTCGGCCTTTGCTTTCGGAGGCTGTATAAAATGGATTAACTTTATTACCTAGCTTATCGAAGGAATAACTTAATTGATTTTTGTCCTTCTTAAACAGAAAACTATCTTTAATTAAGAGGGAGTGGTGCACAATAAGTTGCCAAACTTCGAAATTGGACTAATGGTGGTGATGATGATGGATTGAACAAATGCAGCATCCTGATATACTTTTTGAAATGCTTAATGTTCCATAAGCAATTCTGACTTGTATGTATTTTAGGGTGCATTCATAAATTCTTTTTTCAATTCATAATGTGATTTACGGAAGGTTAATGTGTTGTTGACTTCTATGTCAAAACAATGTAGTGCTTTTCTCAAATTACTATTTTAAATCTGTTCCTCATTTTTCTTTATCCGAATAATCTTCCTTACAATTGTGTTATTTTGATGTGAAAATCCATTCTTATGTATTTATTTTGGTATCATATTACACTTGGAGTTTCATTTAATGATGTTTTGAAAATATGAACAGATGCTATTTTTTGATTCGGATATGGATGGCGAGCCTATGAAATTCCGTGATGTGTTTCTTCATAGCCAAGCATTAGAAGGCATTACATTGTCTATGGTTAGTCAACGATGTAAATCTTTTTTGCAAAGTTCCACATAATGTAATTATTATTATTTGTAAACATGATTTACATACTTCGTTACTGCTATTTTTGATGATAGTGTTCTCATCTTTTATTATGAGACGGGTATGAACATTGATGTGAGACACTGTCTCATTTTGGGCATGATATTTTCAATTAGTTATTAATATAAACATGTAGTTGAAATATCTAATGTAAATATTTTCTATTAAACATACCACACAATACATTGCAATATCACATGTATACAAAAAATTATGAATTGACAAAATAAAAATTAATATTTGTTTATTTAAAATTGTTTTTTAATTTTTCATCATTTTTATTTATATGTCAACTAGACATTGACATTAACATCTATCATTTTACATGGCTTTAATCTACCTAAAAAAACCTAAAACAAAGGAAAACAACTAAAAATGGAGTATATAATCATCAAAATAAGCACAAAAATTATGAATACATTGTTGTATTATTAATTAGGCTTAGCACACTCGTTATCATGATCATTGTCCACATTAACATCAATGTCATCTTCAATAGACCATTTACCATCAATGAGGAGGAAAAACAACATTTTGAAATGCTTGTCCCTTGGGGGAGAACAAAGTTCATCGACAACACATATCCAAGCAATGTTGGGGCATGTCCTAACTGTGTCAAGGCATGTCTCGAGTCCCAATAATACCGTGTTAGAACATCTCTCCAGTTGCAATAATTTCCAACTCTCATTTTGAGAAGAAAATTATCAGACATGTTGTCAACATTAATGAGGTAACACCGGAACAAAAAGGCTTTTTTGAAGTGTTGTTTCTCATTGATGATATTTATGTGAATTTATGTTTCTAATGGCTTATCTTGATTTGATGCTGACTCTACTATTTTTGAAAATATTTGAAAAAATATTAAAAGTCATTAACATAGGATGGCAATAACAATACAATTTTTAACAAACACAGTTTAAAGCCTACATAGCTAGCATTGGTATTAGGCCACAAGGATATGTGATGAATAAATATAAATATTTTGAAGAGAAGAAACAATTATGTCTTTTTACCCATTATGCTGAAGTGGAAGCGCCTAGAACCTTGTGAGAAAAGCCATAAAGCTTTGGTATTATTTAGTTTATTTGCACATCATTTGTGAAGAAATAAGATAAAAAGGAAAAAAAAAATGGAAGTTATTTCACTGAGTTGCTCAAGTTTAAAAATTGATTGATTGACAGGAATTGAGTCCACTAATGCAATCAATAGAACCCACTGCTTACGACTACTTATCTGGAATGAATTCGATTGTAAGATTTTGCTTAGCACTGCTAAAAACTCTCGGGTTGTTAAAGCACTCGTGCACCTCTACAAGTATTAGTGAATTATTTTGCTGATCATCAAAGGAAATTGTGTTTTATTGTTAAGTCATTACATCTTGATTATTATTTCTATGTTGTGATGGGGTTTCTTGCTAGTTATAGAGGTAAACCTCAGCACATTATTTTCGTTTCACGCAGATTTTAGAAGCACCGAATGAAGAGGAAGTTTCTTTGCTTTTGGAAATTTTTGGGTAATGCTGTTATTTTTTTCCCTTCTTATGTATAGCTTATTCATCTTTAATAAATGATTCACATCTCATTTGAGCTTCTGTAAATATGATAACATCTTTTTCGATTCGGTGTTCAAAATATTGAATTGCTTCTTTCCTAAGTGTCCATCTTGTGCTTTTCATAAATCACACCTGCTTTGTGTGATGATGTGCCAAAACCCTTGTCCAATAATTAAGCATTTAACTAAAAATCTTAACTATCTTAGTAATTTTTACTGATTTTACCAGTTGGCTGGTACTGTCATGACTTGCAAGTTTTGCACATATTTAGAGCTTTTTCGTAACGGATGACAAATTAATAGCATCATAATATCAAGTAGTTTTTGTTGTCGACTGTTTAAGGCATAATGTTCCCAGCTCTAGTTGTAATCTCTCTTCTATGCTTTTAATAAAATTTAGAAATCGATTATTGCATTCCTTATAGTTTCTTGTTTCTGTGTTATATTTTACTTTCTACTCCTTAATATTTAGTTGCTTTTTCTTGTTCTTTAATGGGGTTATTCTATTTAATTCTTGATTAAACCTGAGATACTGACAAAACTTTATCTTAGTTTATTTCAAACTTAGCTCCCTTTGCTTCCACAATGATCTAGATTAGACAGTGAAGCTAAATAAATTTGAAGATCTCAAGAAAGGTATTACATGTTCCTCTCTTGGTTTATAAAGATAATTATGCTATGATTTTGATCTTGGTTTTAATATGAACCCTTAGCCATAGCCCAGGCCTGCGTGCATACCTATTTGTTCTATATAAACTTTAGACTGATTTTTTTTAAGAAGATGCTATGTGACCCTTTAAAAAATATTTTACATATGATTGGTTTTTCAGTACAAGATTCAGAATTTTTATTGTTGAAAATGCTGCAATTTAGTTTTAATTGTGTTTCTATATTTGATTGTTTTTCACCTCAAATAATTCTTCTAAGTTGTTTCGTTAATTATTTGCAGACTCTGTTTTACAGGAGGGAAGGAAGTTCATAATGCAATTATTAGTAGCATACAAGATTTGGCGAAAGCATTCTCTTCATACGAAGATGAAGTATTGGTATATCTGTTTAAGCTCTTATTTTTGCTTACAAGTATGGAGTATTGCTAAAAAAATATAAGATTAGAAATAATGATATAAAAAGTATTGATTGATAATCGATGTGTTTTTATTCATGTTTTATCCTCAAAATCGATGAAATTATTCTTTCATTTATTTTTTCCATTTTTACCCCTCCTAATCTAACATGATATTAGAGTAGAGTTGATCCTAACCCTAGTTGCTATATATATCCCTTCTTTCATTTCCATCACTTGACCTTTAGCTTGATCACAAATCCACCTTGCACCACTGCCTGCGCACTCTTCCATTCTCACTTGCTCGCATAGCCATCTCCCCACTAGATCACAAATCCACCTTGCACCACTGCCTACGCACTTTTCCATTCTCACTTGCTCGCATAGCCATCTCCCCACCAGCTCACTTGTGCCCTCGATCTTGCTCCCAGTTCCCACACATGCATGCCTCTATGCTAGTGATTGTGCTAGTATCACTTATGATCTTGCTACCAACACTTGCATTGTCTTGTTGGCTCGTGCTTAACATATTCATCTTTTGTTGTGATGGTGCCTTGCATTGCTTGCAGGCTGCATTGGCTTCACACTTACTATGCCTCACATGCGGCAACCTTCATTGCATATCACTATCGTAGTGCTCAATGCTATTGCTCAGCCCATACTTGGGCCCTTATTTTTTTTGGCCATAAGTATATGGGCTCCTTTCATCCACTCTCTGTGATATTGGTTCATTTAAAACTCAAATCCACCATTGACATCATACATGCATATTTTTGGCTTGCTTCTTCTAGTCAGATTGAAACTCATGGGTGGTAGATGTTCATGTCATGCTTATTAGCTTCTGTTGGTCATGCCTGGTACCTCTGAACCGCAAGTGACCTGATGTGCACATTTGTTAAAACTAGTTATCTAACTCTCTACCAACGAATGAGTTAACGTCAACCTTAAAAACTCATGTTCAACATGTCTATCAATTTTTAGTTGCTCTAATTACATCAGAGCAGGCAAATTATGCTTTCTAGACATTATGGCTCAAAGTTCTTGATGTCGGATGTTTGAGTCTATTACTATAAATGGGCTGACGGACCTCTTAGATCTTAATTGTGCCCACCTCCTTTACTGAAGATAAGCCTTTGATATGAGTGTAAGCAACCCCTTAATGAAGATTTTTCTTTGGCGAGTGAGAGAGGCAATTAACTTTGAAGATTTACACCATTAAAAGTATCAACTCTAGGTTTAAATAAATTCTTATATAATATTAGGAAATATCTAGTTAAATTGGGCCTAATTTACTACCAGAAAAATCACTCCATTGGTTTATTTAGCAATAAGCTTTCTTCCTTTGAGATGTCCTCTCTCTTACTTGTCATTGATGTTGATAGTTCTCTTCCACCTATATATATATATATCTAACACAAGCTATGTATTAGATGTTTTATATGTTTCAAATTTTATAAAAGTTTACCATTCATTTGTTATCTCACTGAAACTCACAATTGCTCTTTAACTCTCTCTCTCTCTTTCTCATTACTTGTTTCAAAACATAAACACAAGAAAAATGATTGGCTGACGTGTTAAGACCAGTGAAATTTATTGTCGAATCTCCAAGGTCTCATTGAACTTTTCTTCCATCATCATTTCATGTTAGTGGCATTGTCATTTTAGTCATCCTTTGCCACTGTTTTTAAGTTTATTTCTACCCATTCTTTTTTGGAGGTCAAATTTAGAGTCCAAGGGCTTTCATTTGAGTAGATCTAAAATTGAATACATGGAATGTAATTTTAGTAGTAGCAGATCTAGGGGCGGGGTTGTAACAATGAGTGATTAAGTCATTAAAATGAGTGAATGTTTTAGATAGCTGGGGTCTATTATTCAATGTGATGGTGATATATAGATGGGGTTTTTATTTGTTGAGGTGAATTGATGGATATGTTTTACATGACTATAGTTCTAGTTTTGTTCCAAGCTATGAAAAAAATTAGAAATATTTATATATATATATATATATATATAGAGAGAGAGAGAGAGAGAGAGAGAGAGAGAGAGAGAGAGACTTTAAATTATTTTCCTTTTATTTTATAGTTCTCACCAATTATTTCGGTTTGGATTCGTCTCCATGTTCTGAAATTTTATTATTTTTCTCAAAAAGTATTGTACTCTATTGCCTCAGCTTATAGGAAGCCACCCAAGACGGACATTCCTACTTTTAATATGTCCCGTTCTTCTGAAGTCAGAGTACTTGTTGAAAGAGACATCACTTCACCCACTTATGAGAAAATCTGGTTGGGCACACAACGCCATAGATATTGGCAAAATGTAGGGATTGAACATTCTCCGTCGTATTGTTCGAACTGTCGTATGTTCGGACATTCCAGTTCTCAATGTCACCATCAACACCCCAACTCAGACCACAAAAGCAAACTGCTCCGCTAGAGGCTGTGATTTCATCTCCTGATCAGGCAGGCAATATGACAACCATTCAATCCCCAGTTGTAGCTCCCTCGTCTTTGGAACCTCTTATCGTGGGGGAGGGAGTTTCTTCAGACCCCGCTTGCCCTAGAACCTATCACTGATAATACAGGTGGAAATACTTCTACTGCTTCACAATCGCCTCATCAGGTCGAGAAAGATGTTAATATTACTCAGGCTCATAGGGATCAAGACATGCAATGACCTACACCTATTCAACAACCTTTGGAATCTACTGATCAGATGAGTCAATCATCGGATGAGGAATGACGGGTCTACACATCAAAGAGGAATAAGAAGAATGAAGATATACTTGAGCTCAGGAATCTGATGGATGATACTTTGGTTACTACGGGCAATGGTACTCATTTTACCAATTTGTTAGTCGACTCACTTCCGAGAACTAGAGGCAGGAGAGTAAGATGACTAAAGTGGAACGTCCCTGACACTTTTGTGCCCTTTTGTGGCTTTTTTGATTTTCAACCTTTTTATATCTTTGTTTTATCTGGGTTTTGTGTGTGTTGTATTATATGAGTTGGACTTTCTTTTAGGTCCTCTCATACAACATTTATGTATCTTTTAGGTCCTCTCGGGCTTTTCTAATATATATATATATATATATTTATATTTGATATCTATCGTGGAAGGTTCTGCTAGGTTTTCTCCTGGCGAACTCTAGCGTCTGTTTCGTTGAATCTCGCTTCGTTGTGCTCGAAGAAGAAGGGGTTTGCGCCTCGTCTTTGTTTGCTTTATCCTTCGTCTGTTTCGTCGTGCTCAAAGAAGGTTTCACGCCTCATCGACTTCGTCTGCTCATTGAAGGACGATTTCTGACGCCGTCCACACTAAATTAGTTGTTCCCTTTCGTCGTCTGTGCTCGAAGAAGAAGGGATTTCCTCTGCTCCATTCCTTGCTTCCCTAATTGTCGGCTTCGGCGTTTGCTCTTTCCTTGACTGCACTCTTCACTGTTCCTAACGCCTCGCCTCCTTCAATTGGTGATGGCTTCGAACAGAACTTATGTTGCTGCCCTTACGAGTGTTCACGCATCAGGTACTCCTAAATCGTGTTTGTTCCCGCCTTTGCATTTATGGAGGGTGGCGAGTCCTGTTACATCAAGAAATCTTGTAGGAAAAATGAGAAACTAGCCATCCTTTTTACTGAAGCTGAATGTAATCAGCTTGCTTTCTCATGTCGTCTGAATTTGGTTGGAAAATTCCTTTATGACCATCTCGAAATGGAGCTTATTTGTAAGGAATTTCAGCTTATGCACCTTGTTAAGGAGTGAAAGATTAGACTTTTAGATAAACGACACATCCTTATTCAACTTAACAATGAAGAGGATTACACACGTTTATTTGCTATAAGATTAGTTTGGATTGATAACAGAGCAATGAAAATTTTGAATTGAATTGTGGATTTAGACCCACAGACGGAACCACCAACCATACCGATCTGGATTCGCCTCCCTGACCTGAAATTTCATTATTTTACTCCAAATGTGTTGTACTCCATTGCCTTAGCCTATGTTAAACGACTCAAAACGGACATTCCTACTTTTAATCTTTCACGTCCTTCAGAAGCCAGGGTGCTTGTTGAGAGGGACAATACTTTAATCATTTTTTAGGAAATTTGTTTAGACTCATAACACCAAGGATATTGACAAAGTGTAGTTATTGAGTCTTTTCCTTTTTTATTGCTCGAATTGTCGTATGTTCGACCACTCCAATTCTCATTGTCAACACTTACACCATCATCTAAAACCAAATAAGCAAAGTGCTCGGCCAGAGTTAGAGATCCCCCTCCTAATATTCTCCAAGTTAGTGACACTCTTGATTATCACAAGGATATCTAAGACCTCAATAACACTGTCGTAACTGTACCATCTAGTCCACTGGCCGACGTTACTGAAGGTTTCACTATCCCCGCGACCAATATGTCAACTACTCAGCCCCACACATTGCTCAAGATGTAGGTCCTCTAATTCCTCCTGTGGAACCTCTGTTCGTGGGGACAGAGGAGACGTTTCATACTTCACCTACCCATAGAACCTATCATTGATATAACGATTGACAATCTCGTGGTGGAGTGTCCTGCCCTACGTGTGCCCCAGCTTCAATTCCAACATTCTACCCTAAGCGAGCTTTCTACTGCGGACATACCACCTCATCAGATCGAGCAAGTTGTTACTGTTAGTCAAGCACAAGGGGCTCATGATATGCAACAGCCTACACATGCCCGACAATCTTTGGACCAATACACTGATCATATTAGCCAGTCTTCGGACGAAGAATGACAGGTTTACACATCTAAGAAGAAGAAGAATGGATGCCTACTAGAACTTAGGATCTTAATGGACGATACATTGGTTATTTCGGATAATGACAGTAAACTTAACCATTTGTTAGTTGGATCCCTTCCTAGAACTAGAGGCAGAGGTAAGGCTACATTGGGTCATTCTCAAGCTCCCTGAATCTGCGAGTGTTTGCAGACTTTTGGCGTACAATTTACATGTCTACATTTTAATCTTGGTTTTTGGGTATACATGTATTTTTCTGGGACCTTGGTGTCTGTTGTATACCGGGTAGTTAGCGTTCCAGTTTCGGTTCTCTCATCCAATCTATCTGTACATTTCCTTTTAATATATTAGCCCTTGAGCTTTTAAATGTATATATATATATATATATATATTCAAAGACTTACTTGATTTATCTTAATTGTTCCTGGTGTGGAAGTGCTAGATTAGAAATTGCATTATAAGAAAATATTAATAAGCAATAGATATATTTTTATTATGTTTTATTCTCTCCTAATTGAGAATTCTGTTCTTATTTTCTTCCTTTTTGTAATACTTTGCTTGCTTGTATGTGTGTAATATTCTTGATCATTAATACACATGTTGTTCTTGAAACAACGAGTATGATGATGAGTTATTATTTGTTGTCTCGATTTTAGGGATTCCAAACAAATGAATGATAAGATTAAACACGAGCATATATGTTAATGACTCAGGCCCAAAGTGGCCTGCACTATGGTGCATAGCGATGTGTGTCGCCGTACTCTTGGCACCATTTACATGGTGCAGTGTGACACATCAAAATGGCATGCGCTATTTGCGCCATGCATGGGAATAGTGCATGGCTTTCTCATAATGAGCTTTAAGCTGATTATTTTGATTTAATATGAAAAAATTAAAGAAAATTTTTCATGCATACATTTCATTTCTTATATATTTGTGCATTTAACATTTAATATTTAATAATTTTTTAACAAATCATAATTACTAATACTAATTTTTTGATAATGAAATACATTGTTTTTATCAATATGATTTTATGTGATTATAACACAGAATGTTACTTATGTAAATATTAAACTTTAGGTGTTGAATATGCAAATATTAAGAATTGTGTGGTTTGCATGTAAATTTCTCAATACACACACACATGCATACATACCTACATACATATTTTCATCTATGGGGCATAAATCTGCCCACGTTGCATCGCTTGCATGATTGTAAGCTTCATTTGCATGATGGGGATGACGATATTGATTATGCTTTATGTGATTATAATAATATTGATGAGGAGATCAGATTTATTTGACTTATAATGATGATGAAAATTCTTTGGATGACTAGTTGAATGGCTTGTGAAAATATTAAACTTATAGAACAATCATAATATATACTATTATGTTATTTTATTTTTTAATTTACTATATTCTTTCATATCTATTTGAATTTTTTTATTAAATTTTAATATTTTACACCATATTTAAAATAGTGCCCCGCGTCATGCGCCATGCACCATGCACAATTACTCTACTCTACGGAGACCTTCATGCTATGGTGCAACATTTGCCATTGAGAAGTATGAATGCTAGCCATGAATTTGTTTTTGCATATTTGAATTCACAGAGCAATCGTAGTAGTGTTGTTGTTGTCAGATTGATGAGTATTATTTATGTTAGTATTCTTGTTCTATCTATTATTCTCCCATTTTCATTTATTTATCATTCTATCAATTATTAAAGGTAAAGCAATCATTTTTTTGGATTTGCTTTTTTATGTAAATTTTAGTATCCTTAATAGTTTAGCAAATCCATGAATTTAGTGACAAAATTATAAATAAAAGGCCTAACGTTGGGCATCATTCCACAACTTTACAATATCACCCACTATAGCTGGTTCGGAAGGGGGCAGAGGATGCCGATTTTCAATTTAGCTCCTTATTTTCTTTCCTTTATGATTTATTTCCTATTGATCTATTTTCTGATTATGTTTTTCTATGAGGGAACAATTTATATATTTTTATTTTATGTTTTCGAGATTTTTGATTTGTTTTGAGTTGGAGGAGATTGTAATAGTTTAAGGAGTTCTATATCCTTTCCTTTTGCAAGTCTTATAATAAACATTTTTAAGAACAAAGCATTGCTCAAGAGTAAATGTTGTACGAATTGTAGAATAATTAAATTACAAGTGTTATAATGAAGCGGTGAGAGAGTTAAGGAACATATGGTTTAAAAAATCACATCAATTATGGAGAATCAATTTGATTTCATACTAGGAAGATCTACCATAACATTTATTTTTGAGTGAAAAATATAGGAAGCAAAGAAAATAAAATTTATATGATTTTTTATTGATCAAGAAAAGATATTCATATGTTCTTTTTATTAATCATGAGAATGCATATGATCGAATCCAATAATAATTTACTTGGAGTGCTTTAAGTTGGAAAGGTATGTGTTTGGGATATGTTGATGTTATTGAAGTATGTAATGGTGCAATAATTAGCATTTGAAGTAGTTGTTGATTCACCCTTAAAATTTTGTTTATCATAGATTTACATTTAAGATCAACATTGACTATATATCTTTTTATATACATTATAAAGATTTTTATAAATGATATTTAGAGTGAGATTTTTTACCTGTTATTTGCAGATGATATCATTCTATTTTGCCATATTTTTGCCTTTAATTTAAAACAAACAAACCACTAGAACTCTACTTGTATAAATATTGTAATGAAAAGGGCTCACATCCTAGTTCTTAATTAAGAAGCACATCATAATTTATTGCTAAAACAGTACATATAAATTCAAATCATATAATATAATAATGAAATATTTTTAAAAAAACCTGCATATATGATATAAATAATAAATCATTTATATGACATAATAATAAACTATTTTAAAAAATGATTATATGTAATGGGTATTATTCATAATTGTTCGTATCATCATACAAATTATTAATGATTATTTAGGCCCAAGAGGAGCTGCTTTTATTTATTTTTTTTTCTTTTTAAATATGTATATGTAAAATTCTGTGAATTAATCACTTGCAGTTTTACGATGAATTTCATGAACATGCAAGTAATTCTTTTTTCGTGCAACAGAATTTGTTTGACTTTGTAATGTATTTTAATTTTTCCTCAAATTTTAACATAACAAGTTAAACTTAATATGCTCAAGTGAATTGCTGCGAAAGAGCAAACCTGACTCTACTCTGATCATTGACACAAGGATTCTTTACTTTTTTTTGTGATTTTCTTCGATTTAGAATCACTTTCACTATTAGTTCCCTCTCTTAATGTCATCGATTGTATCACACAATTATCTCAGCTTGTAGCTTGGCTGAACAAGACAGCATTAGAAAATGAAGAATAAATAGTTAGTGTTTATTTATCTTATCATATCTTTTAAGATTTAGTTCATTTTCCTTTCTGATTTGATTAGTTTTTTTCTAGTATTTTTTAGCCTCATTCGGCATCTGTCAATTATCAATTGCTTACTTCATGGGACGGCCTTTTCATTAATATTGCTCTTTTTTTTTTTTTTTTGCCGGCATAATGTAACAAATACTCAATGGCGCAATTATGTTCTATGTGCTGTGGATATATTTCTCAGGTAAAGAGGGAGGAACTACTTCAATTTGCTCAAGGAGCGGTTTCAGGGCTCAAGTTAAATGCTGATATTGCAAGGTTGGTGAGTAACTTTATATGTTTGATTTTACAGCATTCCATGTGTTATTATGGCTTTGATCATTTTTTTAACCACGGGAGGTATAGTTATTTTTATATTTATTATTTAAAATATAAAAACACAGTGATGTTGCAAGGTTTGCGAGCAACTTTGTTGTTTTTTATTTTATTGTTAGTAGATGTTTCATTTGTTTTAAAACGCAGTAAATGCTGTTCAATTTGTATTTTCTGAAATAAAAGGCATATGATTGCTATGCCTATATGAAGCTTCAAGCAAACTTTTGTTCTTGCTGTAAATTTTCAGAATTTTGCTTAATTATAGGCTAGTAGATACTTTAATGCACTTGTGTTAGTATCTCAGTAAATGTTGGCATTAATATCCACCAACTAGCTATAATTATTGAAGAGTTATTTTCTCATGAATTGACATGAAAGTTTGGAATACCACGGCAGAAATAGATGATTGAACATAAATTAGATATATTTACTAAGAATCAAGGGAGTTTAGCAACGGGGAAATTTTAATATATTCATGAATGGAGTTAAGTTTAGTAACTGTGGGTATATATGTAGGGGCAAGTCTAGGTTTCTTGCAAGGGATGATAATACATGAATAGAGCCATGTTTAGCAATTGTGGCAAATAGCTATCCAGTCTATCTAGTGTATTTAAACCGCTAAGTGCAATGCAATTGTAAGGATTTTTTTCTTTTCTTTGCTTCAATGCACAAAACACAACTTTGCGTGATAGAGCAAGCATGATATGTATAATTGTATCCCATATATACATATATTTTATGCATATAATTGTCATTTAATTAGCTATTAATATATTAAATGATGGCATCTTTTGTAATCGATAGCCACAAAAGATCAATGGCTTAAATAATGAGATGATGAAAGAATACTTTAAAAAAAACCAACGCATCTGAGAAACCGACTAGAGACCAAAAATGGAGGTAGTGTGAAGTGAGTGTAATATGAGATATTCAGAAACATTACCAAGAATAAGCTTGTGAGCCAAAAGTTACTAATGCTAATAACAAGAACCAATGGAAAGCAACAAACGAGAAGCTTATTAAAAAATACGAGGCAATAAAGCGTGAATAGAGTCACACAAAAATATATTGCTCCATATGAGATTTGGAGAACAAATGAGCAACTACTTAATGATTATGAGAAATATTGAAAAGCAAGCACCCTTGTCTAGCTATTGTGGCATGTGCTAATTCAAATTATGAAATTTGAATCAAGTTTTTTTTATATATATAATTTTTGTTAAAGGGGGGTGCACAATGCTACAATATGATGTAGTGAAGTGGTGCTTCACCCACTTAATTATGTATGTGCAAGGGCGGAGCTACAGTGGGGCACTTGGTAGCTGTCCCTCACTGGCCCGACCTAATATACATATATATATATATATATATATACATATATATATATATATATATGGTAATAGTCAGCACCTTACCAATCTGCTAGCTGGATCTCTATCGAGAACTAGAGCCAGAGACAAGCCTAGATTGAGATGACCCACACTTTTTCAGCGCTTGGGTGGTTTTTTGAGTTTTTTCTTTTATTTCTATATGTACACATCTTTAACTTTTTTTTATGTGTTGTACCGTGTGGGTTGGGTGTTTAGGCCCATCCATACAAACATATCTGTATCTTTATCTTTATTATATCATCCTTTGGTCTTTTTAAAAAAATAATAAATAATATATATATATATATATATATATAAGCACTTGTGGCTCCCTACGTGTTAAAAAAAGAAAGATTACAACAAGGGGGAGGGGAGGTGGATCCCCAATTTATAAACCCAAAATAAAAAATACATTTAAGACGCACTCCTAGAGGTTCCACCTCCCACAGTACAACCCACACAAAAAAGAGAACTGAAAAATACAAGTATACCCCAAAAAAATAAAGAAACAAAAAACAAGTATACTTGAGCACTGAGCATAATAACAGGCAGAAAAAAGGAGAAGGGACAAAAAGGTAGTTTCATTGCAAAAGCCTCAGTCAACATCCAAAGCTCCATACCGGGTAGACGAAACAACCAAGCAGCTCCAAAGTGAATGATAAAAGGGCAGGAGTGAAAACAACATCCAAGTAGAGCCACCAAAAAAGGAGAAACAGCTTCAGACAAACTGCTTGAGAAGAGAATACAACAAAAGTACAGGTAAAGCAAAGGTGACAGTAAGCCCAAAAGAGTAACCGTAATTTTCCAACAAACTGAGCAAACAAAAAGGATTAATGTCTTAAATAAGGCATATTCAGGGAATCTCCAGTAAGTAAAAGCCGGAGAGGGGTAGGGGGGATAAGCCAATAGAAGACACATCGCCTGCATGCCTGGCTAACTAGTCAGCAGGTGAATTTCCTTCTCTGTGAATGAAGCTCCATTGAACAAGCAGGCGGCAATTGACAATAAATGCTTGAATACATTTAAACATACAGATAATATCCCATTGGGACGGAGAAACACCTACTAACATCTCATAGAGCAGGTTAGAGTCAGTTTCACTAGTAAGCATAGTGAAATTAAAGGATAAAATCATTTTTAAAGCAAGAAAAAACCCCCAACATTCTGCTAATAAAGGTGTCCCCGCAGCAACAGGGGAAGCAAAATAACACAACAAATGCCCAACATGATTTCTGAAAATTTCACCCACAGAAGCAGACAAGTTGTTCCAGCTACCATCGACATTGACTTTCACCCAACCAGGAGGAGGAGGCTTCCATCTAACCAATGGCAGCCTTGGTCTCCTACCTATGGGTGTAACAGAAGCAGAAGCCTTTAGAGCTTTAGAAAAATAGGTCAGCATATAGGAAGTAGTGATAGAGGCAGGAGGGGGGGGGGATCAAATTTATGGTTGTTCCTAGCAGACCATAAAAACCAAGGAACCGCCAGGGGAAGGAAAAGAGTGGAGCATTTTCCCTACGCCAGCATAGGAGTTCCACTCCCTCAAATAGTTAATCAGAGTACTGCCATGAGTCCAAGAAATACCATAATATAAACCCAATTGATTCCAGACATTTAAAGAAAAATCACATTCAAAAAAGATGTGTCTATAACCTTCCTCATGATTCCTACATAAAGGGCACATAGAAGCTAATCTTAAGCCCTTAAGTTTCAATATATCATCTAATGGGAGCAAAAAGGAGAAATAACGCCAAAGGAAAAAAGAGATAGAATGGGAGAAAAGTTTATGCCAAATCCAGGAGCCCCAAAACCAATCAGGGTAAGAATGCATCTTTTCATATATCATCTTACGAACAGACTGAGAGGTAGTTTTCTGCCAAACCGAATAGTCTTTGTGGGTAGGCTGAGAAGGAATTTTAGATATTTGCACAACATTCAGCTCCCCAACCAAAAAACACAGCTTAGAGAAATCCCAACCTTCATGTGTAAAGAGGTCAGAGACAAGCAAATTATTAGTATGAGATGGATGTGTGTAATCTAAAAGAGTAGGCATTTCCCAATTATCATTCTAAAAGGAGATGTTCCCCTCACCAAGATCCCAAAAAATAAAATTTCTAGCAATAGATCTAGCATTCAAGATGGTCTTCCAGATCCGAGAGTCTCCCACCTTCCACATCACCTGGGAAGGGTGGGTAGAAGTACAATACTTTTGATGCATAAAAGAGGCCCATAAGGAAGAGCCCACTTCAAAATTAAATCAAAGTTTGCACATGTTAATCTCCACAGTTTGTTTCAAAGTTTTGAAACTAAAACCCCCAGCTTTCCTAGGCTGGCAAATTTTATGCCAAGAAGCCCAAATTTTCTTAACACCACTTCCAGCCCAAAGGAATTTGTTGAACAACCTCTCCAAAACCTTCAGTGCACTTTTGTTAGGATTGAACACTTGCAAAACATACAATGGAATGCTTTGAAGAACACTAGAAAGTGAAGTCAGCCTACCCCCATTTGAAAGAAAGACATTTCTCCAGTTGTGATTTTATGCTTAATTTTGTCAATGACATCATCCATTTGAATCTGCTTTTTTCTATCCCTAATTAGATTAACCCCAAGGTATTTTAAGGGGAGAGAGGTTGGTTGATAACCAGTGTAAGAACTCCCTCAATTAGCAATAGAGTTTCTGACATTCTTGCCAAAACAAAGCTGGCATTTCTCAATGCTAAAAGTTAAACTAGAGCAGTTTTGAAAATCTTTTAAAGTCTGCATTAAAATTTTAATAGCAGCTTTGGAGGCATTAGCAAAAATAACAACATCATCAGCATAGGCTAAATGGGAAACTAAAGTCTTAGCCTTGTGGGTGAATTGAGTGTAAGGATGTAGCAATTGAAGACGATTTAGCAATCTAGATAAAAAGTCAAAAGCTATGATGAATAGAGTAGGGGAGAGGGGATCCTGTTTTTGTTTATACACACACACACACACACACACACACACACACACACACACACACACACACACACACACACACACATATATATATATATATATATTTATTTATTTATTTATTTATTTATATCCACGATGTTGGCTAAGCTCGAGAGCTCCGCTAGGGCTTCCAATGGAGATTTCGGTCGCAATTGATTCTACCGCTGGAAGTAGAGGAATCGTCGACTTTCACTCCATTCGTCTGAGTCTTCGTCGGCGTCGATGTCGCTGCCCTCAACTGTGCGCATCGTCTTCCCTCGATATTGCTCCTCGCAGCTTCGTCGTCTGCGCCCGTTTTCTGTTTGGGCTTTGCTCTGCTTTTGCACCTGTTTCGACTTCGGTGTTGCTGCTTCTGTGCCCGCCCGACAGCTCCTCTGCACTTTGTAGTAGTTTAACAACAGTCTCTGACCTCTGATGACATTTCCTTCTTCTATGGTGGAGCCGGACAAAGTCTCATTTGCCCACGTAGTGGGTAACCCTCAAGTGGAGTTCGCAGTGGGATTCCTCTCAAGTTATCAGGAGTCTCGTGAGGGTACAAATTATTGTCCTTTTATTAAGAAGGGGAGCAGGAAAGGTGGAAAAGAAGCAATC